GGGGCCCACTCACACCTAACAGTAGGCCCATTAACAGTAGGCCCTCCACAGTTTTCAACAACACAACCTTTTTCTGCGTAAAAAAGCGTGGGGTCCACTTGTCTCATCCTCCCTAAAAAACACACACTTCTCGAGAGAGAAAAAAACCCTAAACAGTGGTCAAACAAGATGATGTCCTCTTCCGAAATGGTTCTCCACAAAATCTCCTCTCCGCACGACCCGCCGGAGTCCCACTACCACCTCGCCCATCCGCCCAACTCCGCCGTCCACCACCCCGCCTCCGCCGCCGCCGTTCTCAGGCCCAAGGCCAGCGCTTCCAAGAGGACCGCCGCCGGCTCCCCGTCCAGCAGGGACCGCCACACCAAGATCAACGGCCGCGGCCGCCGCGTCCGGCTACCGGCCCTCTGCGCCGCCCGTGTCTTCCAGCTGACCCGGGAGCTGGGCCTCCGCTCCGACGGCGAGACCATAGAGTGGCTTCTCCGCCAGGCCGAGCCCTCGATTGTCGCCGCTACCGGCTCCGGCACCGTCCCCGCCGAGGCCGTCTCCACCTCCTCCGGCGTCCTCCCGCCGTCCCCCGCTTCGTCCACCGTCCAGGCTGCCGCGGTCACCGTGGCAGCGGCGGCGCAGGGTGGCTGCAGGCTGGACCTTTGCCAGCCGCCGCCGTTGGAGCTGGGTTTTTTTCCGGACAGGTACCACCACATGCCGTTCACGGCGTTGCTCCTCCAGCCGGCTGTGGTGGAGGCGGAGGAGGTGCACCGCCCGGCGGATAGGAATCAGGAGCAGTAATAATGGCGTCTGGTTGGGACATTTTGAAGTAATTATTATAGCAAGTTAAAATAGACTATTACTGTTGTTTTTTCTTCTTGCTGTGTTGAGGAGGGCTTTTAGGGGATGAAAAGTAGAAAATAGAAAGATGCTGGGCCTTAAATGAAATACTTTTCTTCTTGTCCATCATTGGCAATTAAAGTAATGCAGGTGCCCCTAATTGCAATATCAGTATTCTTTCTCTGTGCAGTATTTCATTCATTCAGTCACCAGATTGTTGCTGTTTTATTGCAATAGCACTGAAAAATTGGACTTTATTGCTTGTGTGTGCTCTTTATTGTTCAATTATCACATGATGAGAAATAAATAAATATATTGTAACAGTATAATTATGTATGAATTGGTAAATATAATAAGAGCCTATTTTTATTGTGTTCTACAGAAGGCAATGCAGAAAACTAAATATAGTTAGTTCCCGGTAAGGATTATTCGCAGTTGATGCCGGAATGGTGTATATTATTCGCTTATTGCTTGTTTCGAAAGTTCCACCACTTCTTCTTTCTCTTGAGATCGCTCGGGGGTAGATCTGATCGAATCAAAATGCTTGCATTGTGTTAGTGAACAAAATGTGGAGAGAGAGAGAGAGAGAGAGAGAGAGAGAAAGAGAGAAGTAAATACCTCCTTGAGGATAGATTGAGTTGTAGTGCACTTCAGCCCAGAAACTCAAATATATGACTGCACATTAAAGACATAAAATAAGCTGAGATTGCAAGGGGAAGAAACGGAAAAAGAACGACAAATTAGCCGAGAAGTACAAAATAAACACATCATATGATATAATAATCGTGTGTCGTTGTAAATGGATGTTTTTTCGAGATAAAATTCCTTCGTCTGTGTATTATTATATATAGTTCAATTCTGGTCATTTGTTCTTCGAGAGGAATTTCTTTGTCATATGCCTTATGATTGAAAAAAAGAAATGTGTAGATTATGAATCATGCGCGCGAAAAAAAACATGTAAATCAATGCTTGGAAAGAAAAAAAAAATCGGGAGTACCTCTTTTCGACTGTTGGTCCATGGGAAGAATCTCGATGTAGCATGTGTCTTTAAAAGAAGTTACAACGACAATCTTCACGCCATACTGTCCATAGAGAAGTTGTTTTCTAAGTTTCTCATTCTAATTCCCGAATATATTTTCCGAGCAAAAAACTAAAATACTGTTTAAGGTTAAGTTTATAAATACCGAGTCAGCAGCAGCCTGTAACGTGACGTGATCACCCCACTCCCCACTCCTGGTTACTAAACATGTAAGGATTATGGGAGTTCAAAAGTTGCTAAAAATAGAAAAAGAGTTAAATAAGGTTTAAGGTTTTTTAAAAAAAAAATCAGGATAAAGAAACTATACTTGGACATCCTTTTGAGATAATCGGCATATTCCATTGGAACATACCCCTCGTATATTTCAGGATGAGCTTTAAGCTGACCAAAAAAAAAAATGCATAAGATTGTAGTTTATGTCAGATTCTGCAAGCAAATAGGATAACAGACAAATGAAGAATATCGTTTTGCTACTATAAAACACCTGACGAACAACTTGCTGTCTCACAAATTTGTGGTGTTCAGGGGTTCGATAAAACTGATCAGATAAAGCACGAAACTGCAAGAAAATGGTAGTGCATGGGTCACATTAACTAATACATGATGGCATAACTTGAAAATGTTTCTTTCACTTCTAACAAGAAACGAATATCTATATCAAGTTGATCTGGTGGTTTGATGTTGTGGATGCTGTAAAAATCTTTCTGCCAGCGAATTGCAATGAAACAACTGATTGCACAAGAAAAGAAGACTGTGATTACGAATAATCTAAAGGGAAAAAGAAAACGGCAATTTAAACCTGACAATTTCCATCTCCTTGAACCTTGTGCTCTATCAAGTCATATAACTGTAACCTGAAAGAAAAGGCAAAAGTGTGTATTTAAATGGCTTATAAACCCTTCATTTTATTGTGTAGCAACTAAATTTTGCCGGCTAAATATATTTTAATTGAATATTTGCATATCCAAGTGAAAAAAAAAAAAAAAGAAAAACAATACAACTACTTTTATTTACTCCCTCCTATTCATTATAAATGTCGTTTTGACTTTTTTGATTCATCCATTTTGTTATGTATCTAGACATTATATAATGTCTAGATACATAACAAAATGGATGAATCAAAAAAGTCAAAACGATATTTATAATGAACAGGAGGTAGTACTAAATAGTTCTAACCAGACTCATTTGTATCTGATATTCTAAGCAGACAAGAAGAGAATGCTAGAAGTACCTATCTAGTAGCCTCTGATGATCAGAAGTTGCTTCGTCAATTGAGGGTATATCTCCATTAATTCTTGGAATGTGCTGCACACCAATACAAATTTGAATTCCCTTCCGAAAAATCCTTTATGAAGAAACTGATGTCATTCTTGAACACGCAATGTACATTTTCCTATTAATCTAGACTTTTGAGTTGCACGATGTTCTTTACGTAAAAGTGTGTCATATTAATTCAACAGTTGCTTAATACAAACTTAGATAACTTTGCACATTAAGATTACCATGAGCAGCAATATTAGCTCTCTATACAAATTAATAGAACGAGATTCCAATAAACGCTCAATATTTGAAGCAACAGACAATCCATAGCTTCATAAAACTCCATTAGAAAATGATTAAAAATGTAATCACTTGAACATGAAACGAAAAATTTACGAGCTCATAGAACTGATTGCTTACAGGAACAGGAACCATTTGGTACAACCTCTTTTCGACTTCTCCATCAAGTTCAGACCCATCTGTTATGTCCAGAGTATAAGAAAAATCATCTCCATCATAAGATCCATCCTCAGGGCTGGAGCATAAACTAGCCTCATCATCACTTTCATTTTGACCAGCCTCTTGGTCTGCAAAATATTATAGAATTTCCGAGAGTTCTTTATAATACAGGCCAGCAGCTTGGTAGAAGCGTACAAGAACGATAAACGAGGAAAAAAGTACATACCGGGATAATAGTTATTTGAAGAATCATTCCAATTTGGGACGATATTGGAATTTTGCAAGTATTCTTCCTCGGAATGTGATAATCTAGGAGACTCTGCAATTGACAACTGAGATAATTCTTCTTGAAGAAGAGAACGTGCAATAATCTCATCGTTCTCGATGTTAGCATAATTGTTATCTGTTATGTACTGTTCATGACAAATTTTTACATCATGCTGAGAGCTGTCTCCATAATAATTGTTACTGAAAATATTATCAATGTTGAGAAAGCTCCAGGGTTCAGCCTCGGCTTCTGGCTCGTGCATTATTATTGTATCTTCTATTGAGTTGTCACAGGACAAAATGTGCAATCACCAGAAAAACAACTTCATTGGTTTGTGCTAAATATACCTGCTAAAGAACACATAGTTAAATTAATCTTCCAATCACATATACTGAATCGTCAAAGTAGAACTCTCCAAATCGCATCAGCACGAGCAAAGAAGCAAATGGCATAAGGTTAACTTTCGATCAGAAAATTGAACTCATAACAGTTACTTTCTAAATCAGAATCCCTCAGACGCTTAAATAATTTCTTTCCCCTTCTTTGGTGAAGCTCAAACATAAATTCTAGCAAAACAACAGACGAGCAGACGAGCAAACAGACAAAGTGAGTTCATCAAGTATCAATGGCAAATTACATCATATTGATTTACGATACCAGCTACGAGCATAAAAATTCCCGAAAGCAATCTCCAATAAGAAGGCACATCCAATCCAACCATAAACAATTGCAACAGGGTGTGTTATCTAATGTGATATTACTACTAATATACCATAAACTGCAGCTAAAACTTCAAATCATGCGTAAATTATGAAGAAAACTAAACATTTTTACATAATATCAACAAATCAAGCTAGCAAAACTAGACGGCACCTCCTAAATCTCTCACAAGATTGTTCCTTTAATCAAGATTAGGCTGGATCGCATAATCAAGATAGGGAAAATGAAAGGAATAATCATAAGAATACAAGAGATCATACCAAAGAAGAACACGAAAACTTCGGGCCGAAGCAATTCCGGGCCGCAATAGAATGTCCAATAGAAACACAGAACAGAAAGTTCACTCAACGTCACAGCCAATCCATAAAAAACCCAAAACCGACCTCCCATTCAATTCCGGCAACACACGGAAAAGGGTAAAACCCAAATACGCGTGAAACCATATATACAAAAGTATACACAAAACCCACAACGCATTTCCAACTATTGGTGATAGAGATAGATAAAAGATAACCAAAAAAGTACGAAAATGGTGGAAGGGATTGGGGGTAAAAACAAAAGGACTTTTTGAAGTGGGTTTTATATACAGTTTGAGCCAATGAGAAGTCGACTGTCAAAGATCGAGCAGGTAAACGGGGAACAGTGAGTGGCGCACGGAAGGTTTTGGGTGAGCCAAAAGATGGCGTTGGCTTAAGCGATCTTTTTCCTTTGAACTGATTTGTTTATTTACGGCTCAAATTTAGGTGAGTGAGAGAATGAATTGCGTCATGAATCTTGGACTGTTTATTGCGAAATCTTGCACATGTTAATATACTCATTGATGATGTTAATATGTTTAAAAAAATACATCACCAATGAATGCATGCTACCTAACGCAGTGGGCATATTAACATGTGTCCATAGTGGGTTAATGAACATTTCTCGAGATACTATAGTACGTTATGAAATTATTCCGTCTGGGTTTGTAACTGTTAGATCAATTATCCACGACGGTTAGATGACGATCTAATTTTTACAAATCGTGACGGAATAATTTCGTAACGAGATTGTAGCATTTCTCTTAACAGCATGATTGTTTATAAATAAGTTTGCTTAAAATAAAATTTTAAATTAATTATAGTTAATTTTGAAATAAAAAACAATGATATAGTTAGTTGTAAATGACTTTATATTAAAATAATATTTAAAATAAATAATTACAAATTATTTGATGTAAAAGTACAAATAATGTGAAGTAATAATTAATTTAAGCTCCACCAAATAAACTTTTAAGTATCAAAGTTCCCTCTTTCCCCTAATAATTAAATATATCACATTGGATGATTTGATTTGATTTGATATATGATGTGCTCTTATTTTGAAATATACGACAAGATCCTTAACATTTATGATTCCATTTTTTGATATATCACCTTTGGATTTGATATAAATATTCAATTATGCATTTAAGATTGGATCATATAGAGGTGATTAAAAGTGGGTTATTTTGATTTTGTTGAATTATTTTGAATAAATTTAATGAGTGGATAATTTTGAGTTTATAATTAAATAATATTTAACATGTAATAATTAAAGTAGATGTAATGTAAAAGTATGATAGAAATGATTGAAAGTAATATCTAAAATTATATTATTACATAAATAATGAATTAAAGTTGATTTGATGTTTGAAGATGACTTGATAGATATTATTTAATCATATTTATAACACAAATAAAAGTTGAGTTATATTAAGTTTGAGTTAAATTTTGAATTAAAAATGTGTAAATGATTGATTTGGTGGGTTTGAGTTAGAAAAAACTCAAATCCAGTAGTCCCATAATTGAAAAAAAAAAATAAAAAATAGTTAGTGCATATCTTTAGGGGCAAATGGGCCCTAATTTCCACCTTCAAAAGAATAGTTGAAAAGCTTAGTGTGTGCTTGGATATAAGTTTTTTATTGGATACTTAGTCTTAACTAATGTTTTTGGTTAACTATAGTTATATTAAAAAAATAGTTAAATTATGTTTGAGTGAAATTGTGAGTTTATATTAAAATAATATTTAAAATAAAATAATCAAAGTTGATTTAGTGTAAGCTATGTTTGGTAGACGAATAAGGTGTCTGATAGCTTATTTGGTTACCTTATAAGAGCCTCTTTAATAGCAAACATTCACAAACCTCATTTTTCTATTCCCACCACATAATCTAAAACCTTATTTTTACTCCTACAACCAAAAACCTCAAATAACCATAAACTTCTCTTTTAATGGGCCACATATTTCCCACTTACTATATTTTAATATTTTACTTCTATATATTAATTAATAAATCATTATAAACCTATATTTATTCACTTTAAATGGTCCCACGTGAGGTTTTGACGAGGTTTGGTTTTACAAACCTCTACTACAAACCTCAAACCTCAACAAACCTCAAACCTTATGTTTTTAGTAGAAAACTTGTGAGGTTTGAAATTTTAAACCTCTCAAAACATCCTATTAAAGTTGCTCTAAGTTTTCTGTATTTAAATAATTTTCGTTTTGTAGAACGAGCTTTTTGAAAAAAAAAAGCTCGAGCCTATCTCATAAGCTTCTTTGGATAATTTTTCAAAAAGCTCATGAAAATTTTCATTTCAACTAGCTTATCAACTAATTTTACCAAACACTTTTATCACATAAGCTTGTTTTTCAGCTATATGTCATAAGCTATAAGCTATATAAACTTGAAAATTATTGATAAGCTATAAGTTAACTTATCAACTATCAGCTAGCTTATCAGCTACTTTTACCAAACATATCCTTAAAAGTATAAGAGAAAGTGATGGATGTTTAAAATTATATGAGTGAAAGTTGATGTGATGTGCAAGTTGATTGATTAATATTGGTTAATTATATTGATAATATTACTAAAGTCGAGGTTGAATTAAATTTGAGTTGTGCTTAGAATAATTCAATCACAATTTATATAAACACCTCCTTATGCATGCTAAATCCCATGCGCAAATCAATATTTTATTCCTCATTTTAATGAAGCGAATTAAAATGTTCTTGACCAAATTATGACTGATTAGTATTCAACCAGCGCGAATACATGAAAAGTGAATTATTAGAACAGTATGTCATACAAATATATAAACAAAAGCGAAAATCATAATTTAATCCATGAAAAATTAAGAACAAATAGGGTTGTAAACGAGTCGAGCCGAGCTCGAGCTCTTAACGAGCCGAGCCGAGCTCGGCTCCTTAAGTAAACGAGCCAAAAGTCGAGCTCGAGCTCGGCTCGTTAAGGCCTCGAGCTTGAGCTTTAACGAGCCGATCTCGAACTTTAACGAGTCAAACTATAAAAAACTACATAAATTTTACTTTTCGAGCCTTAACGAGCCTTATCGAGCGAGCCGAGCTCGGCTCATTAACCAAACAAGCTTTAAATGAGCTCGAGCTCGGCTCCTTAAGGCTTCGAACTCGAGCCGAACCGAGCCTTAACGAGCCGAGCTCGAGCCGAGCCGAGCTCGAGCCGAGCCGAGCCAGGCTCGTTTAATTTAACAGCACTAAGAACAAATAACATAATTCCATATATTATTAAAAACTTATTTATATACACATTTATGGATTTCCCATTGCTATAATTCTCTTTGCCATAAATCATGATTTTCAAACCCTTCTGATTAGCCACATAAAGTTATTCATGATTGATAACAAGGTTCTCCAGTACTAAGTCGATGTGATAGAGACTGACCTTGACTTTTATTGATTGTCATAGCATAAGAAATCATAATAGGAAATTATCTGGGCTGAAACTTGAATGGTACTCTCGAATTAGAAAGTATGATTGTGAGCTTAGGAATAAAAACCTTATAACCAACTCCGATACTAGTTAAAATTATGCATTCGAGGACATGGTTGTTGAGCTTAGTAATAACCAACGTGTACTATTACACAATCCCATATAGTGATCGATGTCTCTCAGCACCTAATGATTCAAATGCGATTAATGATTCGGAAGTCTCGAGCACTTAATCTTATTTAGAAATTCAGGAGTATGAAGATCATGAGTAGAGTCATATCTAACTTCTGACTTGTAAGTGGTGTCCGAACTCTAATAATTCATTTCCCCGAAGGAGTTCAATAAGCTCGTGTACTCGTTAACGGACTTAACGACGCCAACTTTGGGAGCGAGTATCACTTTGTCCGTCAGATAGCCAAGGTCGTTACCTAAACTCTTGAACATTTGTTGCGTACTCTCAACGCTAGTAGTAATAGGATCTCCTTGTGATTTTAAAAAAAAAATAAAAATCACTAGAAATGTCGATCTTGGCACAGTCGTCGTTCGATCCACCGAGTGTACCGTCGCCAATGCTAGCAAACCACTATAGGAAGTGCATGAAAGGTTATAAAACATCCACTATTTATATGTGTATCAATTGCATGCACTAAGTCGACAATGTCATCTACCCGATAGGTCTTCAGAGACTAGACTAGCATATCACTAGTTCGGGTCGACAATGTCGACTATCTGATAGGTCTCGAGCGACTAGATCGTTGTGGTATCTATATCGGCATATTTATGAACCTAATCTTCCAAATCAGTCATCAAGTCTTCAAATCCAGCTCTCAAGTCATTGACTAGCTCTCAACTCTTCATTTTTGAGTTAGTTTGGCATATATTCTACTTGTGTAGATATTTTGATTATTTGATTTTTTCTTTTTATTAGCCATGCACCGTTCTTCTGATAGTCATGGTGAAAATTGCAACACCGAGTATTATACTATTTACTTATTTTATTTTATTTTATTTATTTCTCATATATATATTATATTAAATTTCAATCATTATTACATATATATACTTTATTAAAATTTTACTATTTATTTACACATACATATATAAATTCTAATTAACTTTACTGTTTCTGTAGGGAATCTACCTTTCTGGAAGGGAAAGTGTGGGTCTCTTCGGATTCAGCCAATAGTGGATTAATGTTTTCTGCCTCGGTAAGTTTTTCTTTGATCTATCTCTGCGGATGAAATGAGCCAATGTCAAATGCTCTCCTTGTCTTCAGTAGACTCACCAGCAATTTTTTCTTCAGGCAAAGGGGTTGCGATAATCTCGCCGACTGGACA